CAAGTGGTAGAGTGCTAGCCTTGAGCTGAAGAGCTGAGGGACAGCGCCCAGGCCCAGAGTTCAGGCCCCACGAACGGACCCAAAAAAAAAAAAAGAATGAAATTTAAGCTGGGCACCGGTGGCTCATGCCTTTAAGATGGGTGCCAGTGGCTCATGCCTATAATCCTAGCTACTCAGGAGGCTGAGCTCTGAGGATCACAATTCAAAGCCAGCTCGGACAGGAAAGGTCAGGAAAGTCCATGAGAGTCTAATCTCCAATAAACCACCAGAAAACTGGAAGTGGCACTGTGGCTCAAGCTGTAGAGCCCTCGCCTTGGGCTGAAGAGCTGAGGGACAGCACCCAGGCTGAGAGTTCAAGCCCCACGACTGCCAAGAAAAAAAAAGAATGAAATTTAGTCAAGACTAGCAATCACTACCAGGCAATAATTCTGTACGACAGTGTGCAATTCTACATGGGACATGAGGCTAAGAGGGTCAGCATTTAGTAGAAAAGGAAAGTCTTCCAGGTGGCTCAGAAATATTTAGTGACTTTCCAAGGATACCTGGTCTGATTCCAGCTCATGAGCACTTTACTATATTGTTAGTCATAAAACTTAGAATGTCTCCCTCAGTCAGCAAGGGTCACAGAATTTAGAAGCACATAAAGCTATCTAGCAAATCTGATGGGTTTTGAAAGTCACAAAAACCGGGGAAAAAAGAGGAGAGTTGTATAGATGTAGAAAGCTAGATGCGTAACATTGAAGAAAACCCTGTAAAGTGCCAACCTGCAGAGTTAGAAGTGTAGCTTAAGTCTCCTGTAGAAAACAAAATTGTCTGTCTTTGCTGTTTCCAGCAACCTTGTCTTGCCTTTCTGCTCAGTATTTTCCTGTGGCTCAAAAATGGGCCCTTCTTTTCACACCTACCCCATTCCTACATCATCATCAACCTGCTTTCTCCATTCTTACTCTCACATTGCAGAATTCTGTGAATACAATTCCTGAAAATGTAGTAAGGTAGGACTCATGAGGTATGCGCCTTTATGCCTAATTCCCACTTAATTTCATTCATTTCTTCACTTGTTCTCCCAACAAACATTTTCCAAGTATCTATGCTGTTTGTGTCAAATGCTGTGCTAGACCACGTATAATGACAATACCATAAAAAAGAAGTAACTTAGAAAGATGTACAAGACACAAACCCTGAAATAACAAGCACTTCTGAGATAAACTAAGATCTAAGACAAATGGATATACATATATCGACATATATGTACATGCGAACATGTGTGTACATATGGATACATATATGTATATATATTATATATGCACACATTAATCAAAATTACTTTTGAAAAAGACAACATCAAGGGACTCATAGTACCTGACTTCAGGACTTATAAAGTTTCAGTTATCAGATATAAAGGCAAAGAGATCAGTAGAATAAAGTCCATTACTATACTCTCACATTGACTTATTTCTCTGTTTATGGTAAAAATGGTGGAAAGTAAAAGGATAGCAATATGAAAAAAAAAGAAAAGAAAAACCTCAATCCTTATCACATGCTACATACAAAAAAACATTCAAAAAGCATCACAGACCAAACAGAAGAGCTAAAATTATTAAACTTTATTAAATTATTAAACTTCTAGAGAAAAACATGGGGGAAAATTAAGTGATCTTAAGTTTGCCAAAGACGACTTTAATAGTCAAAAAGTACAAACTAGCCAAATACCAGTAACTCAGGCTACTCGGGAGGCTGAGATCTGAGGATCAGGGTTCAAAGCCAGCTCGGGCAGGAAACTGTGAGACTCTTATTTCCAATAAACCACTAGACACCCGGAAGTGGTGCTGTGGCTCAGCGCTTGCCTTGAGCTGAAGAGCACAGGGAAAGCACCCAGGCCCAGAGTTCAAGCCCCAGGACCAACAAAAAAAAAAGTACAAACTAGTCAGGCACTGGCTCATGCCAGTAATCCTAGCTACTCAGGAGGCTGAGATCTCAGGATCACAGTTCAAAACCAGTCTAGGAAGGAAAGTCCACAAGACTCTTATCTCCAATTAACTACTCAAAAACCAGAAATGGCACTGTAGCTCAAAGTGGTAGAGCACTAAGCTCAAGGACAGTGCCCAGGCCATGAGTTCAAGCTCCACAACCAAAAAAA